CCTGATTTTCCACCCCCTCAAGCTATCCGAAACAGAACAAGAGGCATTGTTTATTTACTGGTTTAAAGCCAATTCTCTTAGTAAAAACTTTTCTATATCTGAAATAGGAAGGATCAGTAATCTGCAATGTCTATTATAGCCTTTTAAGATGTGTTTTAGGTTGTTGTTTCCCAATTAAATATTTAAGGTTTGCACAGTACTGAGATAAATTAAGAAAGTTCATCTTTTGCAAAGCAACGTTCTCACTGTTCTCAGTTAGCCTTAGCCCTCAGCCAAAATTTATACCCAAGTTATGTGTCACGCCCCAAATAAATGCTAACATCATCATAATAAGAAAAGAATGCTTTGGAATCACCACAATGAAAGCTTCCAGAATTATCTTGGTGACTGAGTCATAAGCAAAATCACAGTGACAAAGATGGATAAGTCACAGGGATTAATGGAGACCTTGTGTCTCTGTAACTGTTAATTCTTCTACATCATAGGCTCCATTTCTGTTGGGGAGGTGAACAGACAATCTAGATGAAGAGTGTGGACATGGTGAGTCCTGAACATGTACAGAATTTGCCCTGGTTCTGGTCCTTGTTGCTCTACCACACCTCTGCACTTAGCCAAATCCAGGCTCTAGAGCCAAATATCTGCTTATCTTGAGCTTACACTGATACCTTAGCTATTCAACTGGCCCTAAAAAAGAGTTGGGATAGAATTGCAAAGAATGGGAAGGAGGGTATTTCTATTAAAGTTACTGGTGGTAAATGAAACCCATCATTTCTTCACAGGATTTAGCATGTGAGTTTACTTAAATACACTCTGGGTTATTACTGTCACCAGGGAAAGCTCTCCCAAGGCTCCCTTTTTTTTTTTTTAGTCTCTTGCTAACTTCTTTGCAGTTCTTGACATTACAAAGAGCCATTGATTCTCTAGTAGAAAGTAAAAAAAATTAACAATGGTGGCTCTTAACTAAAAAATGCAGTTTTAAGAATCTGAGTGCTCTGCCCCTCTGTCCTGAGTTCCCCATTGCTTCCTGTTGTACATCGATGCCAGTCAAAGGCATGCTATTGTTGGTTTGGTTTTGTTTTGAACAGATCTTTCTCTCTCCATTTTATTCCAAGACTTTTTTGATGGATGTGACAGAAATCTGAAAGCTCTAGTTTTTATTTACTTACTAACTTATTTTTTAAGCTCCTGGAATGATCCTTTGCTTTACTCTGAGGAGTTATTAATTATGTGGTATGAATATGCGTGGTTTTAGAGACTGCAAACAGTCTGCTTGCACAATGGTCCTGTGGTAAAAGGCAGAGGAGCCTCATCATGGTACCCGTTAACGCTGTTTTAGTTAAGAACCTGTCAGTCTCCACTGAAACTCCCATTATTCAGGATTTTTGAGCAATCTATAAATATTTGCTCTGGTAAAAAGAGCTCAGCTGAAAAGCTCCTATTTTTAGCTGGAGGTTAAGTTTGGTTGTTTTTGTTGTTTTCTTTTTCCATCTCCTTTTAAAAAGATGCTCTCAAGGTTAATGGAACTATAATTTGACCTCCCTTTATAATACTATGTCTGTTTGCCCTCTGTTTGTATTATTTCTTGTATGTATGAGTATTCCCCTGACAAATGTCTCACAACATGAGTCGCTACAAAAGATGCAGACCAAATAACAAAGCTCATATTAGCAGCCTGTTCAAGACTGAATTAAATAGCAGTCAGGTTATGGTATATCATCTGTCACAAGGTTTTGAATCTTTGTTAGAAAAAAATGTCCTGTAATTAATCCTATCAATGCTTGCTTACGGAACTAATCATGCGACAGGGTGTACCTGTGCTGGCCTAAATGCTCAGTGAATGGGATAGTCTCTTGCCCTGACCCAATAAAGTGTTTTAACAGGGAGAGTAGCCTTTGTGACACATAGGTTTGATGGATTCATGTCTGATTAAATGGTATGTGGGTACTCAGGGTGAAGGAGTGGAATTTTTTTTCTTATTGTTCATCCTACAGCAAGCCTGTTAGTGGGAGCAATCAGAATTATCATCAATCACAGCGAACTGAACTGAGCTCAGCTGTCCTTATTATTAAAGGCCCAGACCAATTGCTTTAAAGGTTGTATGTTATATACTCTTCTAAGGAACTGTTGCACATTTCAATTATTTTTGTTGGTGTTCATCTACCTAGCTGGCATCATATACACAGATATAGACACACAAGGGAAAATAGTTGTTTGGCCCTCACTCATCTGTGTTTTTAATTTGAGAGGGTAAGGAGTGGACTTTTAAACGCTGAGCTGTCTGTATTCATTCACATAATAAATCATATGTTTAAAATGTACTTCCCAAATCTTGACCTTGGAAACTGAGAAAAGCAAGAATTCTGGTCGTAGTGCAATCTGAGTTTGGCCCATTAGGCCATAAAGAGAAGAATAAAAATGTTTACAATTTTGGTTCACATCACTGACAAGATATACGTTTAAAAGGTACAGAAGCCACATCTGATTTCATGCTTACTGCTCCAACAGAGTCTGTGGCATACAAATGTTGCTACTTTCTGTAAATATGCTAGGGAGTACTAAATTAGTGTCACATGGCAACAAATGGATGCACCAAAAAGTGAGAATGAAGCCAGGTGTTGTAAAAGAGTGGCTGCTCTCCATCTGTTTTAAAAAGTTACAGTGATTGAGATGGGTTCCTGATGGCTGGGAAGAAAGAAACATTACACCTGCTTTCCCTCAATTCATGGGAAGGTTGTGGAAGCTTGTGAAACAGCATCTGGAGTATTATGTCTAGTTTTGACCTTCCCAATACAAGAAACACACTGACACAGTGGAGCTGAGGTCAGAGGAGGGCCACCAAAATGTTTAGAGACTTGGAGCACAAGATGTTTAAGAGGATGGGAGAGCTGGGTCTGTCACCCCATGGAAAAGAAAAGGCAGAGGAGAGATCTTACTGCTGTCTACAACTGCTTAATGGGTTGCACCATGACAGGACAAGAGGCAACAATCACATCTGATTTCATATAATTTTTTTTCCCCATTGAAATGGTCAAACACTGGAATGTGTTCTTAGAAGAGCTGTAAACTCTCCACCCTTGAAGATGTTCAGAACAAAGCTGAATAAGCTGCTGAACAACCTAATTTAACTAGGTCTGCTTTGAGGAGCAGGTTGGACTAGAGACCTTTGGGGTTCTCTTACAATTTGAATGCTGTATTTGAAGAAAATAAGATACTGTATTTCAGGAATTGAATGGGACAACCCTAAGTCATGTGGCTGGTGTTAAAACCATTGTACTTGAGAGTTCGTCAGTCCTCCAGTCCTTCACGTCTGTGTTTCCAAGTTTGCTCTGTCATAAGAGAGCAATCGGAATTGTTTCAGATTGCGCCTATCTCTGGGGTGTGGGGGGCAATTACAGTGACACAGGAGAAAATTTTCATGAGATTGTCACATGTGGAAAAGATTTAGCAATAGCAACTTAGGTCATGGTGAAACTTGTCCTCAACAAGTCTTTTTTTAGGCTCATCCGCTCCTGTCATTCTAAAGGATTTGGTTCATCATATAGCCTTTCTGCAGGAGTTCTGCATCACAGCAGCTCTACTCTTAACTCTACTGTAAAATTTTAGCAGTGTATAGAACTGGAACACACTAATTAGTGTAGCAAGCCCAGAAAATGCGTTATGTACAAAACAGTACACAATTAAAACCATTCTTGTAGCAGCTTTTCAGCATGGATTTTGTAATTTTGTAAAAGGACTTAGGCTGGGTTTATACTAGTAAACTCAACTTGCCTGTGAGTGTTCCCAACCACTGAGGCCAACTGCTGTGGAACAATCTCTATCTATACTGCTGAACTGGGTTTGTCTGTGCTAGGTGGCTACAAGCAAGCTGCTGCTTGGGGGTGGTTCCTGGCATGCTCTCACTACCAAAACAGGTGCAGAAGTAGCCTGGGAAAGCAATAGCTGGAGCAGGCTAATTTCATGCCAGGGAACTCTCTCACAGTTTATTAGCATAGGTAACAGTGTTGGAATTTCATAGGCACATCATGAGTGTGCTTGAATTTACTAGGTTTAGCATCTAAGGCAGAAGAACTAATAGATCTTTGGGATGAGAATGGAAGATTTAAACTTAGGCTGTGGACCTATTCCTGAGACATCAAATTCTGACAGATAACCCAGATTCCCTCCCAGTACTAGCCTGCTGAAGACTTTGGGAGGGAATGGCTCAGCCTTTTGCATTGCCTTCTGTCTTTATACCAGAACTTTTCTAGTTAATGTTACTTTAATGTTTTTCTCACTAGTGGTAACTGATATGGTGAGCCTTAGGTCAAGAATTAGTAAGCAAATTTAAAACTCAATTAGATTTCTTCTGTAACTGTTCTCATCCATGAATAAGTATGTGGACAGAGTCTCTTGCAAGAAAATAGAGCAGACACAAGAGTGAGAATCCTCTTTAAGACAGTGAATTCTCTGTGACTTCAGCTAATAACGGCAAAAGTGTGTTTTGTTGTCCCCATGTGATACCTTGAAAAATCTTCTGTGGTATAAACAAGATTTATGTTTCAAATATCTCCAAATGAACAGAACTAGAAACAACTCCCATTGCTACGGAAACCCAACTGGGCATGCACTGCAAACCCTAGAATGACAGAATATTGGAGAAGTTAAAGCTCAAGGGAGTTGTTTACTATATACGAGTAGAATGCTAGCTCATGCATACATAAATCTAATCCACAAAATATGTGCAATTTGAATGAACCTGGTCAAATAAGGACAATAACTGTTCTTGAGATGGGAGAATAGTAAGTGTTGAAGTGGGGCGATTACTTGAGTCGGTTCTGACATGTTTTTTCTCTTTTTTTAACATTATTTTTATTATGAGTATAGAAGAAAACCCTCCATTTTTGATGGCTTCAAAAACAGCCTAATAAGAAAGTCAGTCCAATATTCCAAGGGCATTACTGGTACTCTGGCTCTAATGCCTGCATACATTTCTTTGTTTTGTTCATAATATAATTTTTCAGATGTGAAGGACAGAATGCAAATGGCAGTGAGAATCTCCTGGCTTTCTCCTTTTCCTGCCTGTGGAATGCACTCATGCAAGATAGTGTGATACCAGAAGGTGACATGTTTTCACTGGATGGTCTCCTATTGTGGCAAACTGATGGTATCTGCTGCAATGACGTTGTGATTACTTCACAGTTGATGGCAATCCTTTCTGAGACTGCAGGAACAAAGTCACTGAAATAATTGCCAGGTAAAGCCATTCACTTTTCAGTGTGAGGTCATTTCTACATCTGGCCTAGCAAAAGAAAATGTCTGTGGTCTTTCACAAATCTTTGAAAGCTTCTGTGCCTGTCCAAGAATGCTCCTAGGAAAGCATCCACCAAACTTTGCTCCATGGAACCTACCGTGTGCAGGAGGATACAGAAAATAATTTTGACTGGTTGTAAGAGTTGTATCAGGATTTAGATTGGATATGTTGCAGTAAGTGGCAAATGCTGGGGCTGCAAGGATGTAAGAGGCCTCACTATTCTGCATTACATTCTACTTCTGACTAAAGAAGGAAAATTTTGTGAACTTGAAGAAGTTCACTGGCTCAAACATTTGGAATCACATCTCTGAAGCTGTTTTTCTGCTGAAATCAGTGAATAGACTTTCACTTAAGTTCTACTCCCTTAAACCTGTATGTAGGGATAGGAACAATGTCAATGTGACACAGTAGACATCTCACAAACTTTACAATTTATTTTCTATCAGCTGCTTTTTGAGTCTAATATTTAATTGTAAAACAATTATACATGATATTAGCAATGATGGCCAATAAGCCATCTATCTTCTTTTTATAGAAGCCACATATTGCTGTTATTAGAGTCTTTCTCCACAAATATAAGGAATGAAAGAGTTTTGTTCTAATTTGAGACATTTTTTATACAAGTTTTAAGCTGGTCTTCAAAAACGATCCTTTTTTCTCCCTATTTTGAGGTTGTGGATTTTAATACTAATACCACAAATATTTCTGGTCACTCTCCTTGAAGCAAGGAGAATTAGAACTGGTAGATGCAGAAGAGGGCAGTGAGAAAGATCAGCATGTGACAGTGATCCTGCCTTACAGTAGGAAATTGAAGGGAATGATTTGTTTAACTTTACAAAACAAAAGCAGAAATGGGATGTGTTTGCTGTCTGGAAATGTATCAGGTGGGTAAATACCAGAGAGGAGAAAAGGAGCCATGGGTGCTCCAGAATACAAATGACTAGGAATAAATTTAAGCTTGAAATTGGGAAACAGTTTCTAGGCATTCTAACAGTAGCCCTGCAAATAGGATTCATGACTGCTTTTAAGATTAACTTGCTATGATTACAAATAGGCAAGGTTGGTGTGGAGGAATAAAGCTGTTGTCAGGATACCTGTTGCAGAATGCATTGTGAAGAGATACTCCTGCATATTTTAACAGATATTTCTACCTACTCTAGCACTGATATTTTTCAGCAGTTTTCAGCAAGGATTATTGCAGGAGGGCCCAACAGCAGCATTCTCAGGCAAGCAGTTCCTGAAATATCCTACAAAAGGGACATTTGGGATTGCCCCTTCCCTCACAGATCAAATTGTGCTGGTGAATTTCCAGCCACATGAGGACAAGAAAGATTATTTTGTGTTGTGGAGGAAAAACATAAGTGAAAGGCTAAGTTAATATGGACTGAAAGAAATGAAAAAAAAGCAGATCCTGTACACTGGAAACTTAGATTGTCCTAAAAAGTAGACAAATGGAGTCCAGTAAGTGACAATTTTTTAAATTTTTTTTTTTTTTAAATTTTTTTCATGTTTCCTGAAAGTATAGCAAGAAAGGAAGAAATTTCCCTCTTATCATGGAGTCAAGTCTCATCAAAATGGGTGAGAAAATTTGCTGAATCACACCAAGAAGGTATGAGTGTCACAGTTTGACTGAAAGACTGCCCTTAGAAGATGAGAAGACTAGTGCCTTGCTGTGGAGAATGGCTCTGGTCTGACTCATGGGTGATGACCAAGCCATGAGCAGCTGAGACACAGCAGACCCGTATGGCAGATCCTGAACTTGTACCTGAGGGCTGAAGGCAGAAGAAATGCCCTAAAGCATTCATTGGCAAAATCGTTGAAGAGCAGCCTTATGTGATGAATAAATGTGAGTGTTTGAGAATTTTACTATTTTTTTCTTGCTTCATTATTATTTTGATGCTTCCTCTTTTCTTCTTGTGATCACTTCAAGGAGAGCTCTTTCCTATCAGAAGGTTACCAGAGATGCTCTGACATCAATTCCCATTTTGCACTTGAATCTATAAAAATGAGCAACAGAGCCCAGTCATGGATAAGTTAATAATCACAGGAGTGATTTGGACATGTCCAACAGAAAAGGGCTCCAGCCTTCAACAAGCACAACTGTTTCACATGTGTTCCCATGGTGATAATTCTGAGGTACAAACACGGTCCTGTCAGTCTTGAAACTGTTTTCATGGCTGTATGACTGTGGGTCTGCTAATCCATTTGGGCAACACAGAAAGTAGCAGAACAGAGGTCAGAACAGGTGATATGGTACATTCAGACATGACCTGTCCAGTAGAAGCAGTGCCCACACAGGTCAGCAGTGCCTCAAGAAAATGGTGTAGGCCTATTTGGGGTATGCCTCCAATATCAGACTGCCCCAAACATGCAGTAACCTTCTGTCACCACTAATACCTTCTGTCTAGATCAATGGTGTACACTGGAAAATAGGTCAGCTAAATTCCTCTCACATGTCTACATTATCCTTGTTGTGGAGCATACTGTACAGTGAGATATTTGGCCCTGAATGTGATTTATTTTTTTGCTTGCTTGCTACCATGCGATATTACTCCCACATTTTTCCAGTATGTCAGAACTCTGTGATACTTCTCCTTGCTCCTGCTTAGACAACACTATTTTATGTGTAGTTCATCCAATCCACCTAGCAAAGTATGTAACCTTTTTACTTTAATATGGACCATGTGAGTGATACAGAAACCCAGTCCTGTTATTTTACTCATGTTTTAAAGGAGATTTATTGGCTGTTGGCATAAATAGCTGTTCTTGCCCTTGACTTGTTGCCTTGTGTTCAAAATGGAGATAAGATAGGTAAAGATTCTTCTTTACTTCACAGCAGTTTTTCAAGGTTAATGTAATTAATATGTCCTAACTATTGTCTGGAAGGTGCTAAGAGGATGGCAGGGTCTTATCACTATTGCAAGTAAAATGTCTGCTGCCTAATAAATACCTACAACAGTGCAACTGGAGCCATCAGAGGAAATTTTTCCTCTGACTTGCATTCAGCCAAATCAATTTGAGATCCTCTCATCCCAACTTCAGTATAATGGTTTAAGGAATATATGAAGCCATACTGAAAAATATTAATCAGCCAGCTGCTGGTGGTGACATCAGCTTGCCTCATACAAGGAACAAAGCATGTATTGCTAACTCTTTCTAAATAAAGCAGATGACTTTTCATTTTTCCTTTTTAAAGAGCAGATTTCCTTATGGAAAAGGAAAAAAATACCGCCTCGCAACACCAAGGCAACCAGTCTCATTCCAGCACTTTCAGGTTCTGTTTTTATTGCTCTGGGCTCCCTCTTACTTCCAATTATTTATGGAACAAACTGTGAGTCACATGGTGGAGCTGGAATGATTCAGGAGTTTGTTGAGCGAAGAGAAACAGGAAAAGAAGGGCTTAGCGGTCCAGGCAAATGACATCAGTGCTTTGGCATCCTATCCCAGGCCTTGGAAAATGCAGCCCTTGCTGCAAGAAGGGTTGCAGAGCAATGCTTGGAGGCAGAAGCAGTTTGGCATTTTGACAAGCCAGCAAAATAATGCTAGTCATGGTCTTGTAAGATGTACCAATAGAGTAGTTAAGGGAGAAGTATGGATATGTAAGTTGTAGCAAGGGAAGTAGCTGAAAATACCAAAGAAAAATCCAATCTAGATGGGCAATTCTGCACCTATAAAAAGTACAGAAACTGTTAGGAGCATCTAATCTTTTTTAATATTCTTTATTGGATTGCCAGCACAGGTTTGCGTGGCTGGATTCTTTTTTTTTTCTTTCTTAAAAGTAGAAATTATGCCTAGGTGACAATTCCTGTGAATTCTGCAAGCAAAAAGCTAGCAAAGAGTTATTTATGTTCCAGGATTATGAAAAGGAAATTGCCAGACACTCATGACAGCTATATATCTTTTGTCCCTTCATTCTTGAAACTGTGCTTTGGTGCCTCAGAAGAGATTATTTGTAAAAATTTGAGATGCTAAAGTAGCATGTTTGCAATGACGTATTTTCCTTTCAAAGAGGAGCTTTGGCTTAAGGACCACTCAGTGGCATAGCTGATAAGACCTGGTGAAAACCAGCATGTTGCTGTAGCTCAGCAGACAGTGCCTAGGACAGTGGTTGTCTCTGCAGTTCCTACAATACACAAGCAACACAAAAATCAGCAGTGGTGCCTGATTCTTTTTGCAGTGCCTAGTTTTTCTTGCATGTTCTAATGTAAAGGTAACACTGGTATATACCTCAATGGAAAATCAAGTGAGTACTGATTTCAGGGTTTTTTTTTTAATTTGATTTGTGAGGCACTGGCACAGCTATTCCCTTATTTGCTTACTTTTGTCCATTATATACCATTTTTAAGGAATGCATATATGTTTACTGTAGCAGTGAAGTTTTACTGACATGGTATCTGAAGACACACCTTGTGACAAGCTGTGGAAAACCATCATCTGAAACAACAAGCTCATAATACAGAATATATTTTACAAACCACATTGTTAGGATCTTTCTGGTGGAATCATAGAATGACCTGGGTTGAATAGGGCCACAGTGATCATCTAGTACAACCCCCCTGCTATGTGCAGGGTCACCAACCAGCAGACCAGGCTGCCCAGAGCCACATCCAGCCTGGACTTGAATGCCTTCAAGGATGGGGCATCCACAACCTCCTTGGGCAACCTGTTCCAGTGCTTCACCACCCTCTGAGTGAAAAACTTCTGAAAGTTTTAGCTTCTGCAGGTATTCAACGCTGCTTCAGAGCCTCTCTGCCCCACACCCGGGAACTGCATTTCCTTTTTTTGCCTTTGGCTGTGGTTCAGTGCGAGGAGGAAAGGTAGTGCGAGGAGAGTAACAAATGTCTTTTTTTGGAGAAGTGACCGTCCCCACGAGACCTTTCCCTGCCAGTCTCTCCAGTGCTGCCACCACGGGCACGGCTGGCTCAGAGTTGCAAAAATAAACTAATGACTCAGTGGGAGGAAATCTGAGGAATGACGAGTGTTTAAAACAGCCTTAATTAAAGCCTTATATTTTGTTAGCGTAGGCACGTGTTCAGGTTTACAGCACTCCAAGAAAGCATAAGGCTATACAGGGAAATGCTGCGGCAGCGGTGGGTTGGCGTGTGGGAAGAGGAGCTGGATGTTCCCCTGACAGTTCAAAGAGTGCACAGGAGAATGGCGAGCACTCCCATAGAGCAGCAGCCAGTCGGAAGCCAGCAGGCCTTGTGGGGTTAGTCGTGTTGGGTCACAAGATAAGACATTCACCGATCACTCCAGCACATGCTGCAGATTGCTCGCTTTCATATGTGGGAAGCACAAATGAAATCAATTAATTCCCCTCTTTCCTGGAAAAGAAAACAAAATAGCTGTTTTGATTGGGTAGAATATTTCAGCAGCATCCAAATTTTGTTGACCTACTTAAATTTCTTTTCAAATCACATTTGGTCAATTTTTGAAGTAGAAAAAATGTTATATGAAGAAGTAGTCAATTTTGGCTATCTGCAGTTTTCACTTTTTTTTTT